GAGACAAATGATTATTATTATTTGTGTGTGTTTGGAGTCGACAGGCTGTGCTTCGGTTTTTTTGTAGCACCTCTGCATGGTATCTGATGAAGTGGTTGCGCAGGTTCGTCATGTTACTGCAGTACTTTAATTCTGTGTGGCACAGCTTCGGACTACCTTGCTTTTTTCGATTTCCTGAGTTCCGGATTTCAACGGGGAAAAAAAGAGCCCAAACGTCTGACTTAAAAGCTGGTCTTCTGCTGGTGCTCGCCATGACTGCTGTGTGGTCTAATTCAGCCTCTGCACTAGCTGAGAATGGTAACCAAACCGACAGCGCCCCCAACGGTCAGGAGGTGAATCGATTCTGAGGAGCTCCTGCATCGATTATGAGTTTTGCGTGTAACAATTGCGATGCATCAATTCTTCAATTATCTTACCCACCCCTAGTTTTTTTACTGTCCTTTGTTTTTGTGAGGCTCAAAGGGGATCACACTTTATCTTTTTTCTGTCCTTCTGAGCGATCATGGCTAAACATTTATTTTATTTTTTTTAATGTTTCATAGATTTTTTTTGCGCTAGTTTTTCTCGCTTGCTATATATACAACATGTGACTCTAAAACTGACTCTTTCCCGATGCGATTAACATATTTTATTTTGTAGAAGTAGGTGTGTTTTTTTACTTTGTAACTGCTTCTCTCTTTTCCTGGAAAATATCTGAATGTGCAGCTGAATTTCTGCGCAGTCTTAACGATTGTGCCTCAATGAGCGCTAAATGCCATGACTTCATCAGACGTGATTTCCTGATGAGAGGCAAAATTGGATTTGGTATTTTTAGGGCTTAACTTCTTATGTGAAACAACAAATCTGTTTATAAGATGAGTTTCATGTGTCATGGATGAAAAATGGTTCTCACATGAGTCGTCAGGTGTCTAGCCAAACTACTTTTTTGAGTAAAGAGTTTGCTACAAATAGTACAAGAGAAAGGCTTCTCACCTGTGTGAATTCTGAGATGTTCAGTTAAAATACTTTTTACGGAAAATGTTTTGCCACAAACTGTACAGGAGAAAGGCTTCCCACCAGTGTGACTTCTAAGGTGCTGAACTAAAGAAGTTCTCCTAGTAAAACTATTACCACACATTGTGCAGATGAATGGTTTCTCACCAGTGTGAGTTATCATGTGTTCGGTTAAACCACTTTTTACAGTAAAGCCTTTGCCGCAAACTGTACAGGTGAAAGGTTTCTCACTTGTGTGAATTCGGATGTGTCTATCAAGATTAGATTTCTGAGTGAAGTTTTTTCCACAAGTCTTGCAGGGAAACGGTTTTTCATCTGAGTGAGTGTTCAAGTGTTTTGTCAAACTACTTTTTACAGTAAAACTTTTGCCACAAATTGTACAGGAGAACGGTTTCTCACCTGTGTGAGTTCTCATGTGAATATTAAGATTGCATTTCTGAGTGAAGCTTTTTCCACAGGAACGACATTCAAAAATCTTCTCACCTGTGTGAGTTCTCATGTGAACCTTTAAATGTTCTTTTTTTAGAATGTTTTCTCCACATGTAACACATGGAAATGGTTCCTCGCTTGTATCTTCACTTTCATTCTTCAGAACAAGCTGCCCTTCCTGCTCACTTATGTTGAGCTCCATGGTTTCCTCTTTTGTCCAGGAATGTTCTGGCTCTTTCTTCTCTTCTTTTATCTGCAGAGGTTCTGGTTCCTCTTGGTCCAAACTGGAATTCCTCTCCTGTCCATAGAGCTGCTGGTCAGAGAAATCCTCCTCTTTTCCAACATAATCCTGAAGGCGGTCTGAAAGACAAACAGCAGAAAGACTTTCTATCGTAGGTTAAAGAAAGGACACCTCACTTTAATCATCCTCATGCTGATATAAACAGAGTGGACCTAAATCTTGCAGAATGCACTGCAGCTGTGACGTTAAAATCACAGGTTATAAAAGACCAGTCACTGCTCTACTGTCAGCCACTTTTATCATCAAAGCTGTAGAGTCTATCCGGACAGACAATCTGGTTGTAAATTCAGTTTTAAAATTATTTTTTGTTGATTTTTGTTTTCCTCCTTCAGAATCAAAAAATGTTTTAGAGTGAAATAAAATGTTTCTGAACAAACTGTATAGCCGACGTAGCTTCACAGATGTTCATCTACCTTCATGGAAACAACAGTTTTCTGTGTTGAGTCTGAAGATCTTAAGATCCAACAGCTATTCATTAGTCAGATGAACTTCCAGAGATATAAGACTTGTTAACTGCTTGTATGTGGAGGCTAGGGCTGGGCGATAATTCGATAACGATATATATCGATCGATAGACGTGTGGCGCAATAGAAAAAAAGAGGGTCGATAAAAGTTCGATAAAAAAGAAACACAGTTTTCCTTCCTTCTCATTGTAGCCTAGCATGTAGGTTTATGCTAGTCACTGCTTCCTCCCAACCAATCACAATCGCGGACCCAGGCACGCCGTCACCAAGCGCCGCCCTCTCAAACCACAACACAGAGCACATGAAGATGTCGCAGCAAGGAGATTGTTTCAAAGAAGGGTTTTTGTAGTTCGGCAGTCTGGCAGTATTTCGGTCATGGCAAGTCGGACCAAAAACAAACCACAGTCATCTAGAAAATGTGTCGGGAACCAGTGAAAACCAGTCTGATAACGAAACCAACTTTTTTTTTATCATCTCAGCCGCTCACACCCGCAGGAGTACGAGCTGTGTAGGCCCCGACGCGGCTCTCCTCCGAGGAATCTTCGGAAAATATATATATATTTTCAGTTCTGGGCAGTTTCCCACGTAGTTCTAAAAATTGAGATAAAAATGCTGAGGGGCCAGCAACTTCAAAGTAATAACTCAGGTTAAAGCAGGAAACGGGGGCGGCGGGGGGGGGGGGGGGGGGGGGGGGGGGGCATTTATTTATTTGTTATATTTATTTTGGTCACTTTTCTGGTCACTTTAGTTTATTCTTTGTCAGTATTTAATAACATAACTCAGGTCTCTTAAGTTATTTTTCTTTAAAACAATTCTGTTATGGTTAAAAAAAGATTTAATAAAGTTAAATAAAGATTTAATTTGAAGTCTGTGTTTGTGTTCTTTATTAAAATTAAATCATTTAGCAATATCATAAAATGTCCAGGCAGAGCTGCACATAAAATATGGTTTCAAATCTTTTCAATAATTATCGATATCGATCAATATGCATTTTTTTTATCGATAAGCTTTTTTTCTATATCGCCCAGCCCTAGTGGAGGCTTCAGGTCCTCAAACAGGTCTGTGAAAGATACCAGTGGAGGCTGGTTAAGATCAGCCCATTAACTAAAGGCTGCCGGTGCTGATCTGCTAAACTTATATAGCGGGCTTTATACGATGATGGACAGATGATCAACAGTAATGTAATCAACCACGTGACCAAAGCACGCTTGGGTGACAACAATAATGGCTGCCGCTGGAGAGTTTGGGTGAGTAGATTCTGCTATTAGGTCTGTTCTAGAAGATATCGACAGCAATTTAATTTTAAAAGAGGAACAGAGAAACGCGATCAAGGCTCATCTTCTTATTCTAGGCGTGCAACTGCACGCTTTGATTTTTGTTGACAACAACTATGCCTCGCTTAACATACGTCAAGCACTCCGTTGCTCTTATTGGTTGTAGGTCTATCCAATTGAGTGCAGAGGCATTTTTTTTCCTGGTTCGTTCAAAACACGCCCCATAATCACAGCTCTATGGAGCAGTATCAGACTCATATTCTGACTAGAATTGAGTCGGACTACGTCAGGCTAGCTTTTTATAGCCTAAACCCTATGAAATATTCCTAACTAAAAGCCTGGCTTTTAGTGAGTCAAAGTACTTTCAAATTACATGTAAATCTAAACCTTGAAAGTTTCTCTGGAAGCAAATCAAACAATGCGGCTCCATTGACAGACAGAGGGTTTGTTGACATCACAGGTAACTTTCTGAACATGGTTACAGACCATGGCAGTGTCATAACAGCCACATGAAGCAATGAAGGATCATTAGAAATCCCAATCTAAAGTACTGTAATCCTAATTAATGGATTTAAACATCATCCCAGCTGTTGGAGTGTTTTACAGTCCAGATTCTTCCAGATCCTCCTGGATCCCAACTTTCAGGACTCTGCAGACTCAGATGCTTTTTTTCACAATGAGGTTTTTGATCACAACACTTCAGTTTCCCACAATATTTCCCATTATTCACATCCATCAAACACGTGTTTGATAGATCTGAGGCCTGAAATGAGGACATTTATTCTGACCTTTTTGTTTACGTTTGTTTTATCTGATTTATGTTCTATTTATTTATTTTCTTTACAGCCCTTCGATCAGCTGTGGTTCATTTTAATTGCTTAACAAATATATATATATATATATAACTCTGTCACTTATTCTATTATCTTTATAAACTTTCTAAGGTCCACATAGTGTGAGCAGTGTTGCTGTAATCTGTTGCTGCAGTAACTCCACTATTTCCCCACAGTGGGCCAACAAAGGGAGTTTCTATTCTATGTAGTGTATATCTGCTGTTTATTTAGTAATGTCTTCCAAAGCTCTGATGCCTTCATGAAGTTCTCCCTCCAGCCCTGATGTCAACAGTCTGTTGATTTAAACTAAACTCCGCTGCAGTGCTGAGGCATCCTTCTACTGTTCTGCTTAAAGCAGCAGGTTAGGGCAGCAGGATGACCTCCGCAAGATGGCGCCCGTAATGTCTGCGCAGAGACAGTCAATGCGGGGTCTACTCTAATATTATCTCTATGGTAGAGACGGCTTTCTGTGATTGCAGTGAACTCGGAGCGAAGAAGAGGTTTAACCGGAGAAAATTACTAACTTGACCGCAGTCATTAAAACCCAATGCTGGAAGTGAGCGAGCTGACCGCAGTAAGATGGCCGCCGACCGTAGGTTAGCTTTAGCTTAGCATGTTGATCTCCTCTAAGCAGTTTTCCAATCAGATGAGGCTAAAATCCACAGTGTGCATCATCAGGGAATCGTTTCTATCAGGTGTTTCCTACCTATCCGGTGTAAGATGATCTGGGGGATCCTGGTGAAATCCAGCAGTAGATGTTGATCGTCCATCTTTTCCTCCGAATTGACCAAACTCCCTTTAAACTCCGTGAATGTTTCTTCAGCAGGAGTTAACTGCTCGGTGATAAACTCTCCTTGAAGCTGGACTGAAGACATTCTCACTGCAAACACTCCCAGATTATCAGCCTCTCTACAATGACTCCACACACAAGCTAAGCTAATGCTGCTAATGCTACCCGATCCCTACCAGCAGCTCAGTGCGCATGCGCCCCTTCATCTACATCCGGGTCACCCTCGATGTTAAAATAAGGCTCTGTTCGAAAACCTGGGCTGCATCCTCCAAGGATAGAAACCTTAGTCAGTTAAATAACCTGCTGCTGTCATTCTGCACATCTCTGATGTTGCTGCTATTTTCAAATATCCATTACTGTAAAAATGTCCATAGCTGCATATTGGTTATTTATTCTCCAGTTTTATATTGTTAAAACACTTTACAGTATTTTATTGTTTATATTTTAATTCTTCCATATTATCTTATTCTTATACATTTTTCTAATGTCCACATTTGTGTGACCATTTTCGATAATCTTTCTACTGCTGTAAATTTGCCCATTGTGGGACAATAAAGGGATTTTCTATTCTATAAAAGAGGTAGAAATATATAAGTAAATCTAAACAATGTATGTATAAAGAATATATCTGCAAAATCTCTAATACTCAACAACAAAAAATACTTAAACATATTGGGCAAAACAGCAATAAAAAAAAATTAAACTTTTTTTAAAAAAAAAATATTTTTATTTTTATGATAAAACAAGGTCAGTCTCCTGATACTTTTAAGAAATATTTTGTTAAGAACTGTCAAGTGCATTCTTATAATACTAGACAAGCTTTGTCTTTTCATTTACCGTTAAGTATTAAAACTCAAGTGCAATTTTCTTTTCGGCATCGTGGTGCAAAATTATGGAATGAATATGGAAAATATTTGGAATCTTCAGAAATAAATGGTAGAAAGTCTTTGAAAAAAATACTGTTATCCAAAAAAGACAGTGATGTATGATTTTACAAAAATTTGACCCCCTGAAATCTGAATGCTAAAATGTAAAAATAATGTTACTGTATATGTCTATTTTGTTTTCTCTGAAAGGACTTTCATAATGTGAGCTGCCTGATATTTTGTTGGTTTACGGGTGTGGCCTTGGTATAAGCCCTAAAGGGTTTCTGTCACACTCCATCACATTTTTTTATTTTATTCTATTGGTGTATTCTGAGTTTTTATTTTGATCTGTGAAAAAAAAAAAAAAAAAAAAAAATCCTATCAGATTTATAGTCCCCACCCTGCAGATATATTAGAATCTGTCCTTAAATTACAGCCAAACCCATTTACACAGTAACAGATTAAAACCTTTAGATAAACCAAACATTACCGCCACATATCTGACTCTATAACCATTAAAACAACTATTTTCATTCATTTCAGTCGGAACTATTAAATGACTTGTATTATATTAAACTGAACTTCCAATTTTCACCACTGTTCGGCGCCAAGTAACCTTTCCTCTGATCACGGCTTGCTTGGTCTCGCAATGAATCCTGGGTAAACCAAGGATAGCGAGGATACATCGGACCCGTCCTTCAAATCGGGCTAAAAGAAGGACGCATTTTATAACGAGGACTCTTGGAATCCGACCAGACCTTGGTGCCGCGCTATGACGTCATCGTCCTTCTAATCTGGCCTTCTAAGGACGCGTCCCATGAATTCAAACAGAATTTTTTCGATTTTCCTCCTTTTATTCAGTCAGACTGAAAGTGTCCCTTTGAGAAGATGCATAGAGTTGATGCTCCTCAGCAAACAGACAGACCATCATCTCCAGACCTAAACAGAGGAACATTTCCAGTTTCCATCCACCTGAGGCTGTTTCCATCATTTCTAGGTGTGTTACTGTGTGAATGAGGATCAATGGGATTCAGCTCCATCGTTCAGGTTTAAACCATTAAAGCTCTGAAACAAACATCAACAGCAGCTGAGGTTCAGGGTAGAATCTGGACGCTTCCAGGAGGTTCTTCATCAAACAGGAAGCTCCAGGTTTTAGAACTAGAACCACCAGAACTACCAGAACATCCTGAGCCAACCTGTGGCCTGCCTCCTCTGAGCCCAGACTGCCCCCTGCTGGTGTTCTGATGGATGAGGAAGATGAAGAAGATGTTCTGATGAAAAATGATTTATTGATAAACAGCAAAGCTTTAGATGTGATCAGGATATCTATCCTGGTTCTGATCCAGTTCCTGATGGGAGGAGATGCTGTCTCAGCATTTAATGATCCTCAGGATGTTGTCCAAACTCTTCCTCACCTGTCCAGGTATCTTGGCTCCGCCCACTCACTGCTGTCTGCATGTTGTTCTGGTTCTTTCTGATGAGACCCGTTGGACCCTCTTCTAGACATCTCTGCTGATTCAATTTAGGTTAATTTTTTTCTTGTTAGAGCATTACATACAGAGGTAGTTACTTTCAGGGAATGCACAATGTTACTACCGCCACTTACAATTCATTTTTGTATGAATGAAATTATAAACAAAAGTTACATTTGAAATGACATCTAACAACTTTTAACAAACAGGGAAAGACAGGTCTACCTGAAAAAGCAGGAGTAAATTATATACCAGCTATCTCTCATCCTTTATATATAAAATATGAGAGATACATTAATATATTAATCCTTAGATGCTACAGAGCATAGATTAAATAACAGGCGTTGCATGGTCATCCAGTACTTCTGTTTGTTCATGACCAGCGTGTTTAACCCACTTGGCCCTCCTCTTAGTGAATATATTTTTCTGAAGGCGGAGGATGAAGGTGATCATGTCCATAAGGTAACGATACTTGTCCACTCTTGTATTGTGGGTGGGTCGGGGACCAACCAACGTCTTGTGAGTGCTTTTTACCAGCAGTTATCAGAATATCAAATAAATATTCATCAGCTTTCCTGAACTCTAAATCCAAATTTCCTAAAAATAATGTTGAGAACTGCAGAGGTAGATTAGTTTTAAACAGACCTTATGAAGTTCTGCCCAGAAAGGTCTAACCACTGAGCATTCCCAAAAGATATTCCAATGATCGGCTTCCTGGTGTCCAGATCGCCTCCAACACACAGCTTCACCTCCAGTAAAATGTGTCTTTTGTTTTGGTGATAAAGAAACGGATCAAACACTTCCATCCAAAGTCTCGCCATGAATGAGAGTTGGTGCATTTCCACTGGGATTAACAAATGTCAATCCAATCCTCCTCAGTTATCATCAGATTACCCCCCCCCCCCCTTTCCTAATATAGTCTATATTGTGGGATTTTGTTGACAGTAGGCCTTTGTAAGTTTTAGAGATGGCTCCGTTGTTAGATTTTCCTTGATAAGCGTCAGTAAAGATTTTTATTATGGGGTCATTGAGGTCTTTTCTTTCTGAAATGTTCAAATCGACTGCGTACCTGAAGGAATCTTAAAAATTCAGTGCGGACCAGGTTATGGTCTTCCTTCAACCTATCAAAGCTTTTAAGTTGTCCCTTTTCTGTAAGAGAGAAGTGTTGTTATTCCTTTTGAAATCCACAATTTAAATCCTGTATCTATTACATTAGCCCTAATCTCTGGATCATAAACACACCGTTGGATTATTTGTAATCTGTCATTTAATTTATATTCCTTTTATCATTTTCCAAATTTTTTATTGCGTTTTGATCCATGGATTCTGTACCTTATCTATGAGTCCTCCCAGATGCTTGTGAGCTAGAACTGCTTGTATTGGGGGATCAGTTTGAGTTCTATATTTTTCCATCTAGCTTGGAAGGATGGGTTACACAGATTAATTAGGGGTCTAATCTGAGCGGCACAGAATTAATCTTTAAAACTAGGTAAGGACATTCCCCTTTTGTCTTTTGGGAGTTGTAAAGTGTTAAGTCTAACGGAAAGACTGGAGACATTAAACTATTTATTTTACAGCTTTAGTTTGGCTGAAAATATCAGAGAAAACATGGAAAAAGATTGTTTCTAATTTATATGAAACCAGATAAAGAAACACATTTTTACAATCCATGAGGTTTTTATTGCTGCTCGTTCATCAATTTAGAAGTGATTACAATAATTAAAAACATCCACAGCAGAATATAATCCATAAAATCAGTTGTATAAAATAGGTGATAGTTCAAACTGATCAGTAAAATAACAGCAACATCATCAATCTAGTTTATCTTTTTAAACAAACATGTTTCATCATTTTAGGACTTCAATTTACCTGAACTACTTTTATTTTCATCAGAATTTGTCTGTTTATGGAATATATCTAACCAATAGAAACCATTCAGCTAAAACCTTCTAAGTCTCAAAAATAAAACATGCAACATCTATAACTTCTTCTTGTTGTATAGACAGCAAAATTGCTTCATCTGTAAAGAAGATAATTTTGTTGCACTTTATTATGTTTATTCCCTTAATTACAGAAAAAGACATTTTGAATGTAAAACATTTTTTTTAGGGCAGCCCATATAATTAACTTTCATATGTTCACATCCACATATTCACCCAGGACCTGAATATTTACCAGGTTTACAATATAACACCTTATCTGTTCTAGTTTCTATGTAAACAGAGCTGTTAATTAATGGCTTTATCAAAAGACCATGAACCTGTTATTTTCTCACATAATCAGGTGAAGGAGTTACTAGACAGACATTTTATCACCAGTCAAACATAGAAAACGCCTCTACTGTTCATTCCTGTGGCGTCTAACTGCTGTGACTTATGTGGAACAGATGTTTTTTTTTCCACATCAAGCATGAACAAATTTCATCTGAATACTCAAATTACCTTCTCATTTAAAACCGTTGTGTCAAATCATTCAGGAGAACATCTCACCAGTGTGGAGTGTCATATGTTTAGTCAAACTACTTTTTTCAGTAAACTTCTTCTTACAAATGTTACAGGAAACAGACTTCTGACCTGCGTGAATTTTCATGTGTTTATTAAGTTCAGACTTAGAGGTAAAGCGTTTTCCACAGGAGAGACATTCAAATGGTCTCTCCCCTGTGTGAATTCTCGTGTGAGCGATCAAATTACTTTTTTGAGTAAAATTCTTAAAACAAATAATACAAGAAAAAGGTTTCTCACCTGTGTGATTTCTGACATGTTTATAAAGACTAGATTTCTGAGTGAAGCTTTTCCCACAGGACAGACATTTAAAAGGCTTCTCTCCAGTGTGAATGTTCTTGTGATCATTAAGATCATACTTAGAGGTGAATTGTTTTCCACAGGAGAGACATACAAATGGTTTTTCACCTGTGTGAATTCTCATGTGTGTAGTTAAATGATTTTTTTTTGTAAAATTCTTGTTACAAATGGTACAGGAAAAAGGTTTCTCACCTGTGTGAATTCTAACGTGTGTATCAAGAGTAGATTTCTGAGTGAAGTTTTTTCCACAGAACAGACATTGAAAAGGTTTCTCCCCTGTGTGAGTTCTTATGTGACTATTAAGATTGCCTTTCTGAGTGAAGTTTTTTCCACAGAACAGACATTCAAAAGGTTTCTCCCCTGTGTGAGTTCTTATGTGACTATTAAGTTTGTATTTCTGAGTGAATTTTTTTCCACAGGACAGACATTCATAACTCTTCTGACCCATGTGAGTGTGAGCCATACAATTTTCTGTATTTATTTCTCCGCATGTCAACCATGGGAAAGGTTCCTCTCCAATATCTTCATCCTGCTGCTTCAGAACAAGCTGCTCTTCCTGCTCACTTATGGGGAGCTCCATGGTTTCCTCTTTTGTCCAGGGATGTTCTGGTTCTTGCTGCTCTTCTTTTATCTGCAGAGCTTCTGGTTCCTCTTGGTCCAAACTGGAATTCCTCTCCTGTTCATAGAGCTGCTGGTCAGAGATATCCTCCTCTTTTCCAACATAATCCTGCAGGCGGTCTGAAAGACAAAAAACAGCAGAAAGACTTTCTATTGGTGCTTAAATAAATGACACCTCACATAAAAGCATCTAACTCTTCCCTTGAGTTTGAGGAGTGAGTGGATCCCTGCAAGAAACCTGAATATATGAAGTTGATTATAATTATTAAAGAAAGTAAAGCATTTACATGGAACAGCACAGTGTAAAATGAGGGAATAATGAGACACCACAGCCTCAGCAGCGCTTCCTGATCACCTCTACCTGGAAGAGACATACCCCAGCTGAATGTGTCAGAGGTTGAGCTGATTTTAAGTGATTTTCTAGTAAAATTTCTATGTTCTATCATATAAGAAGAAGCATCATGGTAAGAAAGAGAAAAACAGGTCTAAAAAGTGAAGCCATCTGGAGTAGCTTCCTCATTTTTGCTAAAAATGTAGCAATGGTAAGAGGGCTATGTCTTTTTCTTCCTTTAAAAGTTGTTTGAACTGCAAAAGGAACCCGGTACAGACTGTATTTTAGGCAGGATGTCCTGCAAACCATAAATGGCCTGCAAGGCCTGGATGACGAGGACCTTCAGTCGCTTTCATGGAAATGCAGCATCTCATTCTGGAAACGTTAAAAGAGGCAAGTTTTTGCTTATTTGGGAACTCTTGTCTGGGTTTCCCGTAATAGAACAGCAAAGTAACTGAGCCACATCACTAAAGAGGAGGAAACTTGCTTTAACTGCAGGATAAAAGGAGGGTTGATCAATAGAGGGCATAAAGGAGGGGGCAGATGGGTTAACTATATTTTATATTTTGCTTTAATCTTGCTGCTATCTTCGCTCTGTTAGAGGGTTTGCTAATAAAAGATGATTACGCATTAGTATATATGTAGAAAGAACATTTTATTTGCCATCAATTTCCTGATAGTATCCTGTAGATAGGATCAGTAACGCTTGTGGGTTCTATAAAATAAAAAAGGAGGTTATTAGGAAATGTCTAAATCTAAAACCAGTTAACAATCCTCCTTGGAACACCGATGACCAGTATTCCAAGAGCCATTAGGATAAGGGTAGGATCAGTCGTCCCTTTTGGGGGTCATGAGGAGCAGACAGAACCTTGGGTTTCAGATCCTTTATCCTGCATGTTGCAAAAAGCTGGGGCCCCTAAGGAGATGGACAATATGGTCAAGATTTCCTCCCCACCCAAACCATAATAAATTCAGGGTCCTAAAAGTGGGGAAAACATTTTTCTGGGCCTTGAGACCCGGGAACCCAGGTGTGGTTTCACACCCGGGAGGACAGGAGGGGAAAAGGGAAAATTCATAAAAAAAAGTAGTTCCCCAAACAGGTGCGATCATTTCCCACCAAAATTTAAATTTTTGAAGAGTTTCAGTCGGGCCCTTTAGGCTCATCATAGCACTAAAACAGCTCGGGTTTAAAAGGGTAAATAATGTTTTTCCCCATGGCCTCAGATAAGGGGATTGTATTTTGTGTCGTCCTTTTGGGAAATCTCAGTGCTGTTTTTAAACGGGCTAAATAAATAATATTCTTTTAGAAGAAATTTTGTAGAAATTTAAAAATGCTTTTGTACGTACATCGAAAAACATTAAAAAAAATACCCAATGGATTTGGGGTTTCAAGTTTTAAAGACTTTTTCGTACCTCTCCGGGGAAGTTACTAAAATTAAAAATGTCGGGTTTCCGCAGTGATTTGATTTGGTATATGACAAAGCCTTGTATCCTTGGAAACATGCAAATGGAAACCGTAAAAATGGGTCGTTTGGTTCCATCATTAGCTGAAATTTCCCCTGAAACCTGTCTATGATTCTGAGGGTCGGTCTTTAAAAGGCGGGGGGGGGGGGGGGGCTTTGTTTTTACCCCTCGTGGTATCGAAATTTTTATGGGAGTATGGATATTTTCCTTAGTATGGGTTTATCGAGTTGAAAACTTTTGTATCGGACACCCCTTAAAAACTACACTTCCAGGGGAAAACCCAAGACGATAATGAAAACTGACCAGATAAACTTTGGATCTTTGATGAGGGATTTTTTGGGCCTTGGGGTGCCAGTCCAAAACTTAGTCCCCCCCAAAAGGTTTGAGTTGGGGGAAAGTTGGTCTGGCTCTCCCTTCCCATAGTGCGGGGGAGTATTAAAGCCCACTGTCAGGTAAACCCAATAAAAATTTGTCGGGCGGGTTTTTATACGTTGATGGAAAAGTTGATCGGGGAGTAACGTAATAAAACCACGTGACCAAAGCGCGCTTGGGGTGACAACAATAAGGGCTGCCGCTGGGAGTTTGGGTGAGTAGATTCTCCCCTATTAGGTCTGTTCTAGAAGATATGGGACAGCAAATTAATTTTAAAAGAGGAAAAGAGAAACGGGGTTTCCAAGTTTTCTTTTTCTTTTTCTGGCGTAAAATGCCCCGCTTGTTTTTTTTTTGGCCCAACAACTTCCCTCGTTTAAAATACGTCACGAAACCCCTTTTGCTCTTTTTGGGGTTGTAGGTTATCCAATTGAGTCCCGAGGATTTTTTTCCGGGTTTCCCTTCAAAACACGCCCAAAATTCACAGCTCTAGGGAGCAGTATCAGACCCCAAAATTGGGGACTAAAATTGAGTCAGATTTACTTTCAGGTAGAGGGATCCTGGCTGTGCCCGGATTTACATAAAAATGTTGGGCGGGTTTGTCTGTTAGGTGTTTTTAAAATGAAAAGTGCCGTAATCTGTTAGCAAGCAAAAGCATTTATCAGCCGTGTTGCTGCTTTCTTTTTTTGGTTTCATGCAGCCCCCCCCTGGCGGCAGGTTGCCCATTTTTGCAGGGACCACGGGAGGGAAATCATGGCGGCGGGGGAAAAAATTTAACCCCGGAATCATGGGTTTTACTCTGATCTTCCACCCTGTGTTTGTGCAAAAATGAGTCTTTGCTAAAGGGTTTAGTCGAGTCATGTTTTTATGCTACACTGATGGTTCTCTGTCAGCGGGATGTCTTTTCCCTGCTTTCGTACTCAAAAAAAATTTTGTGGCGGGCTCTTTCCTTTTCCCAAAGGGATAAAAAACCCTTTTTTTGGACTAACCATCAGGATTTTTATAAGAAGCTCACAAGGGGGGGTGAGCTAAAACATTCTTTTTTTTCAAACCAAAAGGAACCCCTATATTATATCCAAGGAAATTTTTTATTCCCTATGTTTTTTTTGGATTAAGTCCCGGGTTTGGAAAAAGGTTTACATAGATCTGTAAATTATTTCTCTACCCTTTGGTTTTGTTTCTATCTATTGAATACTTAACTTTTTATTTAACCCATATGAAATTTAGGTCCGGTTTGCCAGGGGCATTAAAAGGTAATTTTTGTCCCGTTCTCTCTTTTTTTTTATTTTTTTCGGGGACAGGACCCCTTTGAATTTAAATTTTCTATAAACCTCTGAGCAGCAGTGATTTGAGGGGTATGTTCTTGGGAAATAAATTCAGAAATCACCAAAGTAGAAAGAAGATTTTTTTTTTTGTTCTTTTTTTTGTGGAGCAATGAAGTTTTTTTGTTTGTGTGTTTTAAAAAATTTTCATAGTAGATCGGGAAAGGGGTTTTGCTTTGGGATGAAACCTTTTTTTTTTTAAAACCATTCCTTTATTGTACATTTTTTTAAACCCTTGTCCTGCCCTGAAAAAACTAACCAATATGATGTTTAAAATAGATTGCTATTTCACAACTTTTGTGAGAGATATTTTTTTTATAAAGTGGGGGAATTTTTCATAAAAAAAGTTTATCTAATTCTAAAAAATTAAAATTTTTACTGTCCAACACCCAATGATAAAACTGCACGGCAGCATTCTATATCCAGTACTGTGATCTAGGATGGGAGCTGTGGGTCGGGGAAAGAATCTGGTTTTTTTTTTCCCAAAAAATTTTTTTTCAAAGTTTTTAAACTTTTTAATGAATTGCAAAAATAAAACTAAATAAAAAAAGACTTCAAAGTTTAAAGTTTTATTTCGCCCAAAAAACTGAAAAAAACTATAAACGTATCTTTTTTGAAAAAATGGGGATTTTAAAACTAATAAGTTTACCCCTTGAAGCCCTAAAAGTAAGATAAACCCAAAAGATGGCAAAAAAAACACGGGTTTCTCCTGTTTTCAGAAAAAGTGCTTTTTCCTGCTCCCCCTTTAAGGGGAGCTCCATGGTTTCCTTTTTTGGGTCCAGGAATGTTTGGTTCTTTCTGCTCTTTTTTTTATCTGCAGAGCTTCTGGTTCCTCTTGGTCCAAACTGGAATTAATCTCCTGTCCAAAAAAGCTGCTGGTCATAAAAATTTCCTCCTTTTTTCCCAACAGAACCCTGAAAGGGCGGTCTAAAAGGGACAAAACACCCAAAAAAGAACTTTCTATTGGTGGTTAAAGAAAAAACACCTGAAAAAAAAGACCAAACTCTTGTCCTTAAAGGTTTGAAAAAAGGTGAGGGGCCCTTTCCCCGTAACCTCTACCGGGAAAGACTTTTAACCCCGCTGAATGTGTCAAAAAGGGGGCGTTTTTAAAAAAGTTTTTCTAAGGGAAATTTCTCTGATCTATCCTATTAAAAAAAAAAGCATCGTTTTTTAATGTTGTCCCAATTTTCCCATGATCTTTGGGTTTTTTGGACTTTGGGAAAACCAGTCCCCTATTCATCTTGATAGGGACGCCCACGAGAGAAAATGCTATTTTGGCTCAAAAAAACAGCTTTTAAGACCTTTTAAACCCCAAACCCCCCAACCCCACCCCCACCCCCTGTTGGGGGGAAATTTAAAGCCCCATTGCAGTTTTTTTCTCTCTTTTTCCCATGAAGCTGCCTGGGGGCCCCTTTTTGGAAAAAACCCCAAAAAATGGGATCCAGGAAAAAAGGCCCCAGTTCCGAATGATCGGGGGAAAAGTCACCCTGGTTGACTTTTCTAAAACCAAAAAACTGCTGCAAACGGGATTTTTTGCAACACATTTCTGTTGAGTTTTCCAGAAGTACGAGCTGGACGGGATAAA